AGCCTATGTGCATGTGTGTGAGTGAATCTGTATCAGTGAAAAACGAGCATTAGGGCCTTTCCGAATATTTAGGTGGTAAAAAACAGCTAATTTCGAAAAACTTCCACTGCCTCTGCGTTATTGTATTTTGGGCTTTAATCTTATCCCTGCAAGGAGCCTGACCTATGATTATCGGTTAAATTAGTGGGAAAACTGACTAAAACTTTTCGTCAGTTTAGCGGTTAGTTTTGTATGGGCTTGGGGAAAAAAGTGACCACTTCTCCGGGCAGCGAAATATTCAAAAATAAATGAAACCAAATTAAAAAATACAATTCGATTTAGTTTATGTGTTTGTTTTATTTGTAAAAATATATTGTCGAATATTAACTTAATTTCACAAGCATTTTCAGAGCTACTGAGCTCAGAAAATTCTTCTCATTTTTAATCGGGGTCTGAATTTTCGTCGCTAAAAGCAAATGCCTCAGCGCCGTTTGGTCTAAGTCGGCCTAAGTACACTGGCCCCAAATTTTTTCTTCTCTATTCACATGGCGTAAAAAATGTTTTTTGCTCATTTTTTATATACAAATTGAATACACTGATTTTTATTAATTCTTTTTTTAAATTCACCGACTTCTTTTCTATTTTGCACCACAGCTAACAATGAAGTAAAATTTTCTTTGATGTATGTGTGTGTGTCCATATGTATGCGGGCGTACAATCGATAGATTCTTTTCGATGTGGTCAGCCGTTTTTTGCAGGGTATCTTCTTACTCATTATTAATCTTTTTAGTAAAAATATTTTTATTCGAAAACATTGCATAAAAACGACTGAAGCTTATTGTTACTCTTATATACTTATCATTAGATCTCGGATTTTTATGCAAATCGAATATGCAACATATATGCAAGAACTGCGCAAAATATATTAAAAAATTGTAAAAAAATGCATAGTTAGATATGCTAAAAAAAGTTTTTTATGCAACAATTTAAATAAACAAGACCGAAGTCGTTTGCACTAGTGTCCATATTATTAAAGGCTGGTTTTCATTAGGTCAAAATCACTGACATCAAAAACTGCCTTCATCTGGCAGCTGTTCATTTGATGTCAAATGCGTTTTCATTACATTTTAAAAACTGACCAAATGTCGATACCGCAGTGCGTGTCAAAGACTGTCGTCAAATTTCGGTGTCAGATGATTGACATTCCATTTCGTTACTGATGTCAAATGTGATGTTAAATTTTTATAAAAAGTGTAGAATACCGACCGATTAGCTATAGGCAAACCAAAAATGTAATTGGATAGAACTCTTCATGCGGATTTAACCTTACCAAAATTATTTAACGCAAGTAAAAAATTAAGAAGATATAGTAGGTTAAGTTAAATTTTTCGATATTTTGAAATATCAATATCTTATGAACTACATAACCGATTAAACAACTAATGATGTCAAAATAAAGATTGGTTTATCTTTCAGTTGATGTACATAATTTTTCTGATTTTTTATATTTTTGAGTCAGAAATACAAAAAAAACTTAATTTTTTCATTAAATTACCTTTTTTGAAGAAAATTGCACAATTAATGCTACAGAAATTTATATTATTTAGAAAGTACAAGTTATTACCTTATATAAAAGGTTTGTTATGGGGCAAAATTTAACGAAAGTAATGGAAAACATCGAAATAGTATATATATTTTCTTTAAATATCGTTTACCAAAAATTTCTTTTTAAAAGATGGTTATAGTAAATACGTCGTAAAAAAGCTATTAAAATTATCTTTGAATTGGATTCAATACTTTTCTAATCGGTCAAGTCGTTTCCGAGATATTTAACATATAAGAAATAGGAAGGTTGAAGTTTAACCTGTTATATTTTCTTTGTTTTTTACTTGCCCCAAATAATTTGGGTATGGTTGAAATCAGCGTGAAAAGTTCTATCGATCTGCATTTTTGGTTTTTTTTTGTAGCTAAACAGTCCGTATTGTAGCTAGAATCAGCTGTTCGCATGGCAAACGAAATCAAAATTGCCAACATGTTGGCAAATACATTTTGGTTGTCAAATGCTGCCACATCAGCGGCGAGGGCCGTTTTCATTTGGATGTCATTTTATATGACGAGGCGTGGTGATATATGACAACAAACGCAAATGACACCAGATGACAACCCGTTTTCATTATTTTGACAACATTTGGCGTCAAATATGACCTAATGAAAACCAGGCTTAAGATTTCAGAGAAAATTAAACAAGTTTTGTTAAAAGCATATCTTCAAATTTATTAACAACTTGTATTTAGGTTAGCTCTTTAAACTACTTTAGTAGTACCTGTCGGAAATCATCCGCATTTGCGGCCCCAACCGTTGCCAAAGTCCCCAATGTCATAGACCAGGAGAAAAGGCCAATCCTCTCTTCTTCAGAGTCGGAAGAGGACCAATCTCTTGCAGGGGATGTAGGTGGAGAAGCAGTTCGCTCCAATGACGGAGTTGGTCCTCTTTTCACAGCCCAGAAGAGGAAGTATCGGGGGGCGAAACTCAAGCAATGGAAACCCTCTTCTGTGGCTGACCGAACTCCTCCTGTCGCTAAATTC